AAAAAAAAGGTTATTTTAAGGAAGTATTTATTACAAGAAAAAGATCAAAATACCTTTATTATTGCTTAAAAAATAAATTATTTTAGTCAATTTCAATTAAAACTTATTAAAACAGAATCGTTTTAAATATTATTTTCTTAGTTTCTTAAAAGTCTTGGAGAGATAAACACTTTTCCTATATGAATATAAAAGTAGAGGTTACTTGGTGGTATGTAAATGAATTATGTGAGTTGTGAAAGGCTTAGGGGGGTCGTTGATGATTATGATGGATCAAGAACAATTCCCGGCCTTTAATTCGCTTAATTAACAGCTTCATTACGCTACGCTTATGCGGCATTTGGAAGTATATTTAACGCTTTGAGAAAGCAATCTATGATATGAACTATGAATAGATTGTGTATCCTAGTATCCAAACGGTGGTTGTTTCAATTTTCATAGGATGAGATGAAAGAATCAATGAAAAGTCTTTAATTTAAAATCTTCACTCAAAGAGATGGTTATTGATAATAAAATTAGGTGAGAATGTTTATCGGTTTGATTTAAAAAAAAAAAAATTAACTGAAAAATATTTAAAATTATATCGTTTTAATAAATTTTTATTAAAAAATATTAAAATGTTTTAATTTTAAAATAAAAATAAAATTGTTCTAATGTTTTTTTTTTGTATTTTATTAAAGTAATATAATATTAAATTTTTTTGTTTAATCATTTTTATAATATATTTAACTAATAAATACTAATTTTATAAAACAATCTTGTTTTATAAGCTCATCTAGATGTCTGCTTTATGATTGAATTGAAATTTGTAGGACATGAATCACACGTCAAATATAAAAATTTTGGGATATAAAAATAGAAAAGTGAGTCTGCCTCTTTGTATCAAAATAAAAAGAAAAGCGACTTGTCAAAGGATTTAGGGTTAAGGAGGAAGTTCCTTTGGTCAAGCATCCAAGAAAAAAAGTTGAACTTCAAATAGACTTTATTTTCTTTAAATTTGTACCATTCTCTTTTCTTTTTCTATTCTTCAATTTAAAAAAATAATAATAATAATAAGAGGAAAGGGGAACACAAAAGCGGCGTCGTATTGGGTCCGGACTGGTTATTATCCCGCCAGTCCAGACTGAAAAACACATTCTCCTAAACTAATGCCGGCCCTCGGAACGGGCAGGAAAAACGCAGCATTCAAACAATACAAAACGGGAAGTGGTTGTACCAAAACCCAAAACGGCCAACCAAGTAAAAGAGACCAAGGCTTGGTTTGTCCTACTTTATTTTTATACATTTTTTTCACACATAATTTTATTTAAAATTTAATGATTTGTTAATTTACGTTTAAAAGAATTTTAACTTTTTTTACATAAGATTTTAAAAGTAATTAAGATTTAATGTGATCGTCGAATATTAAAAGATTAGTA